CGATACGCAAGAGCATGGTCTACGTACGAACAATTTATAAAACGGAGGCAATTTATATAAAAATGAATTGATGATACAAGGATATCAACAGACGAGTCATTTTGCACATTCTATGGCCAACACAATGACCTTGTTAGCAGATACATTCTATTTTTAAATTGAATGTTGACCGATGTTTTTCATACAAAATGTTAAGCCATTATTTCAAACTGAAATGTCTACGAATTTTTCCGTTTGCCAGATCATGACAGGGGCACAGTGAGTGTGACCGGCCGACAGGGCAAGCTTATTACTCCTCCGTGGCACCTGATCCCACCTCTGATGATGTTTTTAGAGATCCCTGTTTGCTCTGCTGAGGAGTGGAATAAATGAAAATGTTCAATAAATGAGACAATGTGATATTGAAGGAAGTATTTTTAACATTATATAACACCAAAATAAAGTAATTGAAAGCATTATTTGCACGTATGTTCCCAATGTACGTAAACAACAGTGAATTCTGTTCTCTAATTCTTCAATGTCTCTGAACGCTTATCCTATAGAGAAATGGCAGGTACTCTTTGTTGAATATAAACTAGATAAATCCTATATGTACACATTTATACTATACAATTTTCTCAAATTCTAATAAAAATTTATGATTGTTTGGAGCTTTTTTCAGCACACGATAAACATCGTATAATAGATGCGTCACATTTTCTATTGGTTAAAACTGTTATCTTAAGTGTTTTTTATCATCCGTTTCATATTTGGATATTTTACTGATTACAGACGCTTATGGCCAACTAACACTAAACTATATGACAAACGGGGTGACTTCCGATTCGGCTTTTCCATCGCCAACATCTTACATCTATATATGTAGTAATATTTCACTATACTGCATATGGTGTTTATGTCTCCTAATTTATTCGGTACAAAAGAGCACGGTAGAAATTGCACTTAATTATAATTGCAATGAAGCACATTCTAGTCCTTTAAAAACATTTTAGAAATGAGTGAATTGCCGATGCATACAACTTGTAAATATATTGTGTTTCCATATTTTAATTAAAACATATTAATTAAATTGATTATTTTTTTTTCATTTTGTTTATTTGTCCTTTAATTATGCTCATCGATTATTGTAAAAGGCTTCAGAACAGGCTATTGGCTCAGGACTAGTTTATTGTATGTTGAACAAATATTTATTACAATGGATGATCTTCCTTCAATTTCTTTCTTATAAGATTGAATACTTCATTCGTATAGTGTTTCTTGGCGACGCAGTACCTCATTTGTAAGAAATTATTCTTTTTTTTACTTCATTTCAACGAAAATTAATTGATTTTCCCTCCAATTTATAAAGCAAGATTTAAAGCACGGAGCAAAAAGATATTAATGAAACGAAGAGAAGGAGTGTCAAACAAGGTTTGGAGAAACTTCTTAATTTCATTTACTAATGATGTATAAAGCATTTTTGTAGATGGTTATTACAGCAAAGTGTGTAGAATTCGATCAACTTGACATGACTGATAAGTAAATCAAGCAAATAAGAACATGATTTTGTTTATTGGAATAATTTCCATCCACACTCAAATAATTCGAAAGTTCAAAAGGTTCAAAATAATCTTTTGTATCTTTTATGATCATACCAGTCAGAAGTTGAATATTCATTTGCATAAATCTTTTAGTGCAGACTGCTCTTTAAATCAAATCAAGGACTTAATTTTAAAAAATTCCAAACAATTTCTCATACTGTGGAATCATCAAAATTCGGGGGGAGGGGGCAATTTTTGTCGATAATATAAATTTTAGCGTTCGTTGTAACATTATTACGTGTATTCATTCATATTTTTACAAAAGGAAACATGACTTTGAAACCCTAGTATATTAATTCGTGGAGGATAAAAACTCGTGGATGAAGGGTACCCACGAATTCCACGAAATTTGAGCCACCAGGAAACCTAATGATTCCACAGTATCGTTATTTCATTTTACAAAAGAAATTACGCTTTAATAATGCTTAGTCTTTGTACGAAAAGAAAAACTGGTCTGACTTTCGAATCTTTTTATTTGTCTTAAATATGTGCAGTATAATTATGAAGTGATGGTTTAACATGAGAGATGTTTGATGAGGAATTTTGCATACTAGCAGTTTTTATTGAGAATTTTAGCAATTCAGGGATGTTTTGACAAACAATTCACAAACATCTACGTATCAAAACCAATTTTCAAGCAATAAATATCTGTGATCATTTAGTCGATAAAAAATAAATATAAACAAATAAAAAATTCAAAAGGAACAAACTTAAATAAACAAAGTGTTCATATTTCTTAAACAAATATCAGTTGATAAAACCAAAGTTGGTCCTCCTCCTGTAAAAAGTTGAGGGTCAAGAATATTTTACAACAAATGTATGAGGTACAATATAAACCTAAGTTAGTCACAGTAGAAAGTGAATGAATACAGACATACAGAAGAAGGGTTTTCATTATTTACTAGTGTCAAGTATTAAATTAAAGGTAGTACATTCTTCTTTGAGTAATTGCAACATTTCTTGTCTTTTAGCGTGAAAGATTACATCACAAAAGAAAATTTATTCAACAAATTTATTACACAATATGCTTAAATTCAAGCATTTCGCCTGAAAGAAAGAGTGAAATCACAAGGTGTTTCCGTTTCACTTGACAGCTTTGATTGGCTTTAAAAATTCATAGTCATTTATGAATTTATCTTTTAAAATGTGTTCCTTCATACAGGAATAATTTTATGCTTTAAGGATATTTCGAATAACTTATGATTATTTTTTAAGAATCTGCTAAGCAAGTTCATTTTCAATATCCTGACAGAAATTAACATGTATTTTGTGCAAATTTTAAATAACTTTTATTGACCATGAATACTTTGGATAACTAATTAATAAAGAAAGATAAAATTAATAAAAATATGTCTCTTCTATAAGGTTTAAACATTCCATAATCTTGCAAATCGTAAGCTGTACATCAATGACAATATGTTTACAAATCCCATATAAGCTTTAAATTTCATTATTTTTCATTTTTATGGACAGGTGACAAATGGGGTTTTATATAAGAGATGATTAGTTTACTAATCCGAAACTTTAACTCCTTTGAACACGATTTAAAACCACATTTGTGAATTTATAGACAATGCTGAATTAGGTAAATAGGACTACTGTCAATCAAACAGAAATTAACAAGAAACCTGGGCATTATGTCGAAAATATTTGATTGTAAACTCAACAGTCAGAGACCCATCTCATAAACTTATGTTTTTTTTACATTACAAAAGGGGTACATCTTTTCCATTAAATTACATTTGCAACTTCTTGAAAAAAATGGACATGTGTGAACAGACAAAGTTAAGACGTGGCGGAAACATCATTCACTTTCGCTTGAGAGTAAATACAATTCTTGCTAATTTATCATTCAAAAAGCTTTGTTGCTATTTTCTCAAGATTCACTTTTTTAATGACTTTGTGCAGTGTAGATATCGAAATATATACTTTCATCTATTAACGCCTTACAAATTCCTTATCAGTGACTAAGGTAAAATAATCTAATAATGAAGATATTAAAAATATTCAAGTCTGAAAGGCTTCTATGGCAAGCCCTTTTACTATTATCCAAAAAGGAGATGTCTTTTTCAATGAGAATTTTTTTTCCTTTAGAAATACATGTATTTCATTAATATATAGAGATATCTATTTATCTTAAATAAAAGTCTTAAACTTAAAGAGATATCTCTTTTAACAAAAGAGAGATATCTCTTAAACTTAGAAAAATGTCTCTTTAAGCTAGAGAGATATCTCTTAACGTTAGAGAGATCTCTCTTTAAAACTAATAGATATCTCTCTATCAACGTTAAAAGATATAATTATATATTTAATTGAAGGGATATCTCTTTAACGTAAAGAAATATCTCTCTTAGTAAAAGATATATCTCTCATAGTAAAAGAGATATTTCTCTAAGTAAAGGAGATATCTCTTTCCTAAAGAGATATCTTTCTTTAGAAATATCTATAATTGTTAAAAGAGATATCTCATTAAAATAAAAGATATTGCTGTTATTTTAAGAGAGATCTTTTTTTCCCGGAGAAATTGTAAAAGGGCTTGCCATAGGTTTTCTTCGAATTGACATTTTGGCCAATCAATTGTATGTAGTTCCATTAGTTTTGACATTATTTGATTTATGTCTACGGATGAAAACTGAATGAAATCATTTATGTGCCAGAAGGTCTTTTATTTATTGAAAAAAATATTTTTAAGACGCTTTAAGTGAATCTTTTTTATGTATATTTTATTTTAAACCAAACAAAAAATCAAATGGCGTCATTTAAGAAGGTATACAATATATTTGATTATTAAGGTACAATTTAAAATCAAGTTGTTTGATACAATTTTCATAACCTATATCAAAGAAATGGATATTAATTTAAGTTTATAAACTTTTTTCACAACATTTAAAGAACAAATTCAGATCTTCCATGATGGCAATTTTCTTTCTTATGTAAAAAATATGTCTTCGGTACCTGTTGTCATTATGCTACACCCAATCCTGCAGTCTCTCCACTGACAGATTGACAACAGATTACGGATTTATCTGGAAGATTTCAATAAAGACGTCGGTAACCTCTACTCTAATTTATTAGTCTTTTACATTAAGAATTCATGTACATCCTGGATTAATTGAAATCCTAGACATGTTTATTGCTATCGTATAAATAGGTGACATAATTTAGCCCCGGATTTTTGTCCTTTATTCTGGATATTTATGTTTTGTTTTTTTTTTTTTTTTTTTTTTTTTTTTTGTCACACTTCAGACGTTTTAACATGTTTGATAAATTAAAAGAATTTGAAGAAAGGAAAAGCAAGAATTGTTTTCAAACATCAGGAAATAGATAATTCTATCTCATTTTACCTTCCTTTAAATGTGCTTTATGCCTCCTATGAGAAATTAGCCTGATAGGGCAGCAAAGAATAACCCAACACAGATATACAGTTTTGTCGATTATGTCATTTATTTGAATGACATAAGGTAAAATGTAAAGTAAAATGTATAACAAATTATTAAGGGGGATCACCTAATAAACACTACAAGATGAAACATGTACATAGGTGATAGGTACAAGTGTGATCCCCCTGAGACTGACTAGAAAATTACATGCAGTGAAAATATCAGAGTACAATACATATGCATAAAAAATAACATAAATGAGTTAATCCTTGGAGGCGTCCAAACAATTGCGCCGATCACATGGAAGGCGTCCAAACAATTGCGCCGATCACATGGAACATGTGAAAAAGGTATTTGAAAACTACTACAGTTATGACTAGAATGCAAAATACAAGACCAAACCCATAATGCCTTATTGACAATATACATACCCATATAACAAGTTTTGGCAAAGGGTGGGTGGTGGGTTTTATTTTTCACTGCACTAAACAGGCTTTGCAGAAATGGCGCAACAAAAACAAAGAATTTGATTGGTTTAAAAATCCATAACTATCCGACGGTGTAAAATTTACCAGATTTCTCATAGCGGCATAAATTGAATTATCTGTGATAATATTGTTTTATGCCTCCTATGAGAAATTAGCCTGATAGGGCAGCAAAGAATAACCCAACACAGATATACAGTTTTGTCGATTATGTCATTTATTTGAATGACATAAGGTAAAATGTAAAGTAAAATGTATAACAAATTATTAAGGGGGATCACCTAATAAACACTACAAGATGAAACATGTACATAGGTGATAGGTACAAGTGTGATCCCCCTGAGACTGACTAGAAAATTACATGCAGTGAAAATATCAGAGTACAATACATATGCATAAAAAATAACATAAATGAGTTAATCCTTGGAGGCGTCCAAACAATTGCGCCACAAGCCCTCAAGCAGTGAGGGATAGACGCCAAACAAGGAAAAAAGAAAATCCAAAGAAAACAACTTTACCCAGACAGTAAATTACAGTAATTTTATACAGTAATTTTCCATCATGTATATAAACAGTACTAAAACATGAACTACACATATTTGGCTACATGTTTTGTGACTAAGTGTTCCTGATGAATAACAAATACTGAAGCAACAAGGGCATTAATTGTCAACTGTAAGCTATTCGAGTGTGGTTAGCCAGCAAGGGAAAGCAAAATACTACAAAAATGTTTAGTTATTCATAAATTTACAAGGTTATTACATTGGGAAAATAGATATGAGACATGCAGCCAACTGCTGACCATGTCTCTTGTGTTTTGAAGTAGGAATTTATATTCTAATATTGCAAAACAAATATATGGCAAAACTATGTGAGCAGACAAATACGGATGAGGATGTTCTGGTAGCCAACTGCTAGACCAGCACAGAAAGGAAGGGGGAAATGAGATAAGTAGCAAAAAGCTGGACTCGTATAAAGTATGCAGGTATAATGAGCAGCCAAATGCTGGACTCAGGAATGGAAGGGGTCTGCTAGCCATCCACAAAAAATGAGCAGCCAGATGCTGAACTCAGGTGTGGATTTAAATAGATTTTGGGAGGTTATATATCAAATGAAGATATGCGGATGTACCTGCGTACTGCATTCGAGCGCCATCTACCCAGCTTCTGAATATAGTTTTCAGAGAAACCCAGAGATGCTGCATGAGTTGCTGCACCAATTCGAAAACTGTGTCCTTTGTACAGTTTTGGATCAAGGCCAATGAATGAGACTAACTTGCATAGCTGCTGGCTTATAAAATGGTGTGTGACTGGTTCCCCACTCATGAATTGAAAAAGTGGCCCTGAAGTGTGAGCAAAGTGAGTAGTGTAATCATACAATGCCTTAACAGGGCAGAAGGTGATGGAACTGCTGTTTGAAAGGTGCAAAGTAACTGGTTTCTGCTCAGTGTTATTCTTGAAATGTTTCATAACAATGGTAACCCCTGATAAGATGCCATTTGAGACTCTGAAGCTAACATCAGAACGCTGTAATACATGATTAGAGTTAGCGGAACGAGTGGCGAGTTCACCTATTCTTAAGAAAGCTTGAAAGGCCAGAAGATAGAAGGCTTTAAGTAGTAACCTATTACCTAAGAGTGGTTCAACAATGTTAATAGCCTGAATAATTTTACGCAGGATGTCCGTTGTAATTGGAAGTCTTGTGTCCTGCTGTGGCACTAGTGCATGGCATCCTTTCAGGAGTTTTTTGGGTAGGAATTTTTCAGTGGGATCTGGTAAGCTGCAGATTTTGTGGAGGTAGCCTATTGCTGAGACATGTGAAGATACTGAGGATGGGGCATAATTCTCTGAGAAGAGATATCCAATAAAATTGCACAAATCTACCTCTGACACCGGTAATGAGGTGAATGAAGGTTTCCACTGGAGGAAGAGCTGCCAGCTTCTGTGGTATGCCACTCTTGAAGATGTTGAAAGTGCAGCCTGAAGAAGATGTTGGGAGGATGCACTCAGATCTCTAGTAAGTGAGACGGAATGAATGTTTGTATTGAAGACAGATTTGGGGCAATGCTGGCAGCCTCCTGAAATTGAAAACGAGACAGTTTGTCGGCTAAAGTATTAAGTTTGCCAGGGATATGTTTAGCTCTAAACAATATGTTATTTGTCAAGCAGCACAAAACAAGACGCCTGACTAGTTTCATGAGAGTGGCGTCTTTTGATGATGTTTTGTTTATAATGTCCACCACTGCTTGATTATCAGACATGAATAAGATTTTTTTGTTTCCTAACAATGGGGCCCATACCTCTATTGCAAGTACAATAGGGAATATTTCTTTAATAGCTATTTGGTCGTCTTCTAGATCCTTTGGCCATTTTTGAGCAAACCACTTGTTTCCCAACACCCCAGCAAAACCAATAGACCCTGCTGCATCAGTAAAAAGTGTCATGTCTTCTGATGTGACCCAATATTGTGAAAGAAAGATGGATTTTCCATTAAATTTATCTATAAAAATTTTCCACATATTGATATCAGCTTGAGCTTCACTGTTAAGGTTGATGGGGTGAAAGGGATTTGAAATTTTACAGGTAAGATTAATTAAGCGGCGTAGAAAGGCTCGGCCTGGTACCACAACTGAGCAAGCAAAATTAAGGAGGCCTATAAGAGACTGAATTTCTCTTAAGGAGGTCTTAGATTTGCCCTGAAATTCATGCAGTTTGTTTCTAATCTTTTCTACTTTGACTTGTGGTAAACGGCATTCCATGGAAACTGTATCAACCTCTATACCATAGATTGTAAGACAAGTTGTAGGAGGAACTGTTTTGTCCAGTTTGATTGGAACATTCAACCTTGCACAGAGAAACAGGAAATTGGTTAAGTCATCTCGACAATTTAACTTATCAGGTGGGCCCACAAAGAGAAAGTCATCTAAAATGTGAGACATACCCAGAGCACCAAATTTTGCATACATTATCCACTCTAAAGCAGTGCTGAAGGACTCAAAAATTTGGCAGGAACTACTGGCCCCCATAGGGAGACAACGGTCATAGTAAAATTTGCCATTCCAAGAAAAACCCAGGAGATGGTAGTCTGCAGGGTGAATGGGCACAATTCTAAATGCATCCTGAATGTCGGACTTGGCCATCAAACTTCTTGTGCCAAACTTTTGAACAAGTTCAACAACTTTATCAATAGAATCGTAGCTTACGTTTGAGTTTTCTTGAGGAATGAACATATTAACTGAATTTGTTTTTGGATAAGATAAATCATGGATAATGCGAAATTTTCCAGGTTCAGATTTTGGGACAACCCCCAGTGGGGAGAATTTAAATACTGGAAAAGGTGGCAATTCAAACGGACCAGCTAGCCTACTTTTTTGTAAGCCTTCTTGAATGAAGGAGTCTATGATTTCTGGGTGCTGGGCACAGCTCTTGTGATTTTTAGAGATATTACTAGAAGGGAAACCTTGACAACCTAAGTGAAAACCCTCTGAAAAACCCTGTACTAATTTTGAGCGGGCTAGTGTGTCATAGCCTGAGAGAAAGGAATTAAGGTTTTTTAGGTTTACTGGTGTCGGCAGATGTGGTGCTAGATTTGAATTGCTTGGTGTAGGCAAGTTCCTTGCAATTGAACTTTGCGTGTGATCCTTTGCATAGTTGGCAGATGTGTGGGTATTGGCAAGGGAAGGATTTACACTTGTCCCCCCTGTTGAAAGCAAAGCAGACTTTCCCCCCTTTGTTGAACTGTCTGGATTTGCGAAAAGTATCATTTGTATATTGACCTTTTGATTTTGAAAGCGCTTTGATGCGCAGTTCTTCCACTGGTTTTTGCCAAGGAAGATTTGTTGATTGCCTTAAACGACGGAAATTTTCATCATAAATACGCCAAGCCCCATCGGTTGACATAGTGTAAATCTCTCGAACTAAACTGCAGTATTTTAAGAGATTGGGGGCTTCTGAGGGATGTTTTTGTAGAAAGATGCAGGTGAATATGAGGAAGGCATCAGTCCACTGATAAATAGTTAAGGGGGATTTTGGTTTGTTGCCATGTTGGAAGTTGATGGAACCCGCCCCAATGGTAACTGATACAGGGTCGTCAAATTGGTTAGGTAATAGGGACTTGAGGTCAATGAATTCATTGTCCCATATTTTTTGTTTTGTTTTTTGACTTATCCCCGCCCCTAAAGGGATGCCGTCTGCAATGTTGATGGTGGGTAGATTTTTTTCCCTTACTGACTCACCTGTTTTACTACTAAAAACATTGTCAATTAAAGACAATAGATCCACAGCCTGTGACGCTGAGGATGTAGCCGGTGGGGGTTGATCCGAAGTGGCTGGAGCCAAAGTGGACGGAGCTGAAGTGGACAGAGCCAAAGTAGACGGAGCTGAAGGGGATGGAGCTGAGGTGTCTGATGGATCTCGAATGAGTGCAGTCTGTTGAGATGCAGCGTTTTGTTGTTTGAGTATCTCCGCTGCCAATTTTACATAGTCAACCTGAACGGCATTGGTGTTCATAGCTGCAGGTGAGGTGGTTTCAGTTTGTTGTTCATTTACCACAGTGCAGGGTGTGCTTTTTGTTGCACTCCTCTTACGTTTGGAAGGCTGTGCTGTTTTTGGCTGAGATAGGCCTCTTTTTTGTCTTGGCATTGTCCCTGTGTTAAATTAGAAAGAATTTAGAACCCATAATCACACAAAGAACTACATGAACTTGTAGCTAATGTGTAAAATATATAAATTTTTGGATTTCGTCTGACAGCCCATGTAATAAATAATGTTTAAATCCCACCAAGCATAAACCATTTGGTTTACAATCTTAAATAATTCATAAGGCCTGACTAATAGGCAGATTAGCATGTTAGTTAACAATCAAAAATTTTCAAGGGCTGCAGATATGGACAACAGAACTGTAGACGATATAATGAACCACCCTAACGAGAAGGTGTACTTAACACCTACTTTATGTTTACTGTTCTATTGACCAGACAGGTAGTGATGTTCCATTAAACATCTACATTTGTATACAAAGGACTCGAAGTAATGTCATTTATACAACCCCTCCCCCTTAAAAAAGGCAAGACTGTTGTACTGAACAGCTTCATGCAGATGTCATACTGGGCATCTCTATACATATACACAGAACAACTAGTGATGCCATAAAGGCACCAATGAACCACACTGTTATACTAAACAGTTATATAATGCTATACTGAGCATTTATAGGATGATGCTATACTGAGCATATAAAGGGTAATGCTATAATGCTATACTAAGCATTTATAGGGTGATGCTATACTGAACATCAAGTGAGTGAAAACTGTTATACTGAACAGTTATACATCAATGCTTTACTGAACAATATTGAAGGACAAATCATGATAAGCAGAACACATGGTGTGGTAACAGGTACATATATGTAAAACAAATATATATTACCAAAATTGGCCCTGTTGCACCAATTAGCCTGTATTTATAAAAAGTTTGCAGCAAATACAAAAGGACATATGATTACAGAATAATTAAGTTGCTCCAAATATGCAAATATGTTTACATACAAACAATTAATGTTTTTCGTTGTTGTAACCAAAACCTAATACTGGCCTTAATTGACAGGAATGCACAATTACTGCATTCCTGACACTTCTCCAATACTTATGCATGGGCGAAGGGGGGTCCCCGTGCTTCAAATGCTTCAGAGGGGGGTTGTCGAGGTGTACACTGTCCCTTGCCAAGTGTGACAAGTTTTGCCAAAACCCTCTGTGCCTCCAGAAAAATATTCTTTCATGTGCCTGTGTCTTTTGTGTGAGGAGGCTGTTAATTTCAACAACAGAATCGTTGTACCCTGCAACGCTCACAGATGGGTCTCTTCTTAGAAGCTGGCCAATAATAACTCTTTTTGAGTCCAATCCCTGAATTAGGTACTCAGAAAAGGAGAGAATGTTTATAACGATCTTCTCATTCGATAAATAACCAATGTCATTCCCACCTATTTGTATGAAATGAATGTCGGGATGCCCGGTTATTCCTTTTAACATACACTGAAGTCCACCTGTACGCAGTCCCCCTTTAGCACACACAGTTATTTCATAATTTTCTGCATCTAAATTAAGATCTTTAAAATCCGGATTAGAGTCCATAAACTCTGAAAGTCTACGAATGAAGGAATGACCAAGGAGACATATCTGTATTTTCACAGAATTGGGATCCACCCCTGCCATGTTATAAGTATACGGCCACGCGGTTTACCCAGCACGTGGATGTAAAACACTGCTACAAGCTTACTTGCCTTGAATATCGCTACTTTTGTGAAGTAGGCTGGTGAATGGAACTGCTAGAACACAAAAACGATGTTATTTCAAGGGGTCTAGCTAGTTCACAACGATAATGTATTTTTATTTTTCACTGCACTAAACAGGCTTTGCAGAAATGGCGCAACAAAAACAAAGAATTTGATTGGTTTAAAAATCCATAACTATCCGACGGTGTAAAATTTACCAGATTTCTCATAGCGGCATAAATTGAATTATCTGTGATAATATTGTTTTTTTGGATAAAAATGAATGGATTTGTTTTCATTAGAATACTTTTTAATCCACATGATAAGAAGGCAGTTCTTCATCGATCATCTTTTCTTTCTACAACAAATATATATCTGTATATATATATATATATATATATATATATATATATATATATATATATATATATATATATATATATATATATATATATATATATATATCCTCTCCTCACTAGAACACCATATCTTATCCTCCTTCAATGAATAAAAATTCTGTAAAACAATTTGTCTTGTGTTGCCACCTTTGTGACGTTTAATAATTTGTTTGAAATTCTCAAAAGTATTATTAACAATGGCATATAATTTTAGCTGACACAAAATAAAAATATGAGAAATAAACCAGTTTTGTAAAGGGAGATAATCCAAATTTTCAATAATTACAACTTAGACTTAACAGAAAAATCATGAAAATGGGTCTGAAAACGCTTAAAAGATAAAATTACAACCAAAAATTTTGGCGGAGGCGGGTTGGAAGGAGGTAAATAACAAACTTGAAAAAACGTCCGTCCTCCAAAGCTGAAGGTGGGAGAAGAGGCAGAGTGACGCATCGGGTGGCCGGAATTTTAATTGAGAGATTTTGATTGGTAAATCTCTGCCTCTCCTAAGACATGAAACATTATTCTACAACATTAAAAAATAATAAACTTTTAGTCTAATTTCTTTTCATTTGAAAATTTAACTTCATCCAACTTTTTTTTCGCTTCGAAATCCACATTTTATCATTCAATCACATTATTAAGATAATAAACATTGAATCCTTTCTCTCGAATTTGGAATGATTAAACGACTGTAATTTTATAGTTAAATAAAATTAAATGTGAAAAAAAATATTTCAGTCTTAATTTAACAGTCGAAAACTATTCAGTTGTGTAACAGTCATATGACACCTGTCTTTATTAATTACGATAAATGAAGCCAATTTACATTTCATTTCTAAGTAACTTGCAAGTAACAAACATATAGAAAAAAGAAAGCATGAACATTTAAAATAGACATTGTTCTTTACTATTATATTGTTCATAGATACCGGAAGAAGATGACAATTATTAATTTTTACTTTAATAAACGTTCTCTTCACACAGATATATATTTATTTATCTTATCTTTAATTTAAATAGAGCTTAGAGCATTTTGTTATTTATACAGAAATAATTCAGCACAAACTTATAAATTCACGTTATTTATCTGTTTATGTGACAAGCTTTAGTCGTGAAATTATTATTGTGTTTTCAATTACATCTGTAATTCAATGTAATATGAGTAAATCAACTTAAAATCAAAGAAATTAATTACCAAATAAATCTAAAATAATAGGCTTACTGGCCGGTTACTTTGTCATAAATCTTTATAACCAAGCTACAAACAGTTACAATTTTACAGTGCAAATCTCATACCATATGTCATCAAAAGCACCTTAAAGGGAAAACACTTAGAATACATTTCTACTAGCACGGTAATTCTACTTTACTTCATTTGACTCAAGACATTGTAAATGTTACATTATATTAGAAGTTTACATTTCAATTGACTGTTTTCGCACTGAGGCAATGATGAAGCATAAATTCGTCCTCATTTAGTTATCTTGGATTCAGCTAACATCACAACTGAGGTCAATTTTAGTCCACAAACTTTCAATCTTATGGTGAATCCAAATTTGATGCAAAATTTCAACAATACAGCAGTATCGCATGCATTTAAAGACACATAAAATATCACATTTACTAAATGTAGAGGATGCCCGATTGTAACAAAATGAAAAAAAGGTTCTTTTTTATTTTATGATGCGTTTTTTTTAATTGTCTTGAGTGATTTTATCAAAGCAGGTAAATGTCCTATCTCCCAGTCAAACAAGAATGGGAGGGAAGATCAAATATGATATATTTTGGAAAGCCTTAAAAACGGGGTCTGATTCACTTAACTCACTTCTCATGAAAAAATGCATCTTATTTAAAATGTCAATCAGAAAGTATTATTCCATACTATAAGTATACCTTAGAGGTTTTTTTTTTCTTTTTTTTCAACGAGTGTTCCCTAAAAACAGGAAATGGGTGTCTTTAATGCTCATGTTTAGGTATTTCTATTATTGAATTTATTTTTCTAATCATTATTTTAATATTTTTACTTAAGTCTTCAAAGTCTTTTTAATTAAATATTTCGGATTTCCAACATCTCGGCATGAGTATCATTGTCAGCTATATAAATTACATTGTGACCCCTGGGTCGAGGCCTCTGCTGGTGAACTTTTACATGTAGTCCCCGAGGGTTTCTACAGCCCAGTAGCTAAGTACTTTATTATCAGCTTGAAAATACGGATAAATTTAATTGCTGTGGTAAAATTTCGAAATTTATTTCAAAATTAAGGATTATCTCCCTCATACTTAGCTCTAGCTTCGACGTATTTGGCCCCAGTCTTTTGCACCTATTTTCAGCTCTTCATAGTCTTTTTTTAATTAAATATTTCGTATTTCCAACGTTTCGGCATGAGCCTCACTGAAGAGACATAATTTGTCGAAATACGCATCTGGTGTATCAAAATAGGTACCGTATATGATTTACATTCAAACGTAACACACTTCTAGAATAAATATTTTGAAAAGAAATTATTAATTTAACATGTAAAATAAGAGTAACCATAGTTACCTGAAGATGTTTGTAACCAAAAGGAAATTCAGAAAGTCAGAAAAAAATTGTTATGAAATAAAATGGTTCTATGTCCTTAAGTATCATGTACTTTCTCAAAAAAGCCTCCTAAGATGTGACAGTTATTAAATTAATCAAATACGTAAAGAATAACTGATCTAAAAATTCTTTAAAATAATTCAGTGGCATGCTGCTGGAATAAGACGTCTTTGATAATGTAGTTCATTCTAATTCACAAATTTTTAGTATGATTTTTTAAAATAACTTCGTTTTAAACTGCACATGGATCTTGAAATTATTAGAGGCATCCAGTTGCATTTAATTTCTCTGATCTGCAAATAATAATTCCAACATCACGTATTCGGCTCTGAAAAGAATTTAAACTTTTGCATTTAGAAGTGGCATTTAGTAGTGGCATTTATTAGTGGAA